GCGGGACCCTATCCAAACACTGCTCCATATGAGACACCTTAAGTCACTATGCTCAAAGTTGACAACCACGCACAATTTGATATCTGGAACCAAAGAAAATCATTACACCCACAGTGAAACAAGTAACATATACCACGCAAACCCTATAGGACATAACCAATACGTCGTTCACCGAGCAACACCCAATTACTCTTCCTGCTCGACTTCCACTATGAACCCAATAGAACTGCACCATATGTGCCCATAACCAACAAATCATAACGTCTCTCAATACAAAACGACAACTCATAGATCTCCCCAGATCACTAATAAACTCAATAACAGTCGAATCAACCTATCCCTCAACAATACAATTCGGGACCAACCAAGCCGACTCAAGCTAGAAAACGCAACCACATTGGTCTGCCAATGAAATCCTTACCAAGGAAGCCTGAAGATGCTCCTTCCACTACTATAACTCCTGCTGAAGCCATATGATACGGTGCCCGACACCAAATCAATACAGAAATCTGCAACCTCGCCCGGCGACATGCCCAGCCACAAGAAACATATCTGAAAAGTTCCTCAACACCGGAACTGAATCAATGGTAGAAACCTCTGCTCTATTCATCACGAAGTCCCAATTAAGAAAGGCAATCCTTCCTATCCATCTGCTGGGTCCTTAAAATATAAACCACTCTACTAGAACATAATCCAACGTACCTCGCCACTCAACCTGTGGCATTTCCGGCATAGCCCAAAGCGCAATAGTCCGGATTAACCCAACACGGAGACAACCAGTCTAAACCCCAACATCACATCCAAAATATAATACATCAAGCAAAGAAAGATCCATTTGGGCCTCCAAATCCTGGTAGTTTCTAAACAGTGCCGATACACGCAATCTACAACCACATCATAGCCTGAATATGAGAACTTCCATCTCCACATCCACACGGAACATGAATCACCATATCCGATCCCAATTTCGCCGTCCGAACACATGCCACACCTTTAATACCCAATCATCCCACGATAGATACTCTAAAATTTCCATGTGCCACCAAGAAATCCCGATTATTACCAGGTGATCTAACAAGAAAGTGCCACAATACTACCGAAGTGCCATTAGCTTAATCGCATTGCCCTTCTACTGAAACATATACTCTCATCAAATCACTTCCAATTAGCAGTACCATTTCCTTAATCACTTGAGGCTACCCGCTGTTTAAGGGTTTCATGAACTTCCTTTCAGAACTGACCGTAACTTTACACATGCAAATCTCGATCCTCACAACATACCGCATATACCATACCGTCCTAGGATAACATTATAACTTCATCTCCCTTCCGAGCCACAGACAACTATGCACTCCACTAGTCAAAACTTTCCATTGGTCCCGTCTAGAAGAAATATCACTATACATCGCATGCCCATAGAAGATATACATCTCCAACCTCGGTAAAAACCATCAAGAACTCTCCGAGTTCCTTTTGCACAAATCAGACCTGTCAGGACTGAATTCTTCTAACTCGATCAAGCTAAGAAAGCCATAAAAACCTAAGAGCATTGCCGCAAAATACCTGAAAGAACTTATTACCTCAAACACACACAAGGAATTAATCATATCCTTACCATACCGATTCGGTCTACTATCAAGCTACTCCATCTATCTAAATTTCCTTCTAATTCGTCTTCAACTTGATATTCTCTCTTGCTGTAGCACCAAAATTCCTCAACCCAGGATTCCCACACGAGATCCGAGCATAAAACCACACTATCTAAGACCCATAAGCCGCTGAATACTCTCTCAAATATTCCCAGAAACACCACATTCCATAATACTTTACTCTGCAGAACTTCCTGCGAATCTAAATCTGTTACCTTTACTTTCCTGATAATGATACATAGAATCCCATAATTAACATAGAAATACCACAAGTCTTGACCTCTTCCAATGAAAACACAGTTTCTAACCGCATATGCAACTTTAGAATACTCAATTGATGTATGCAGACTCTTTGAACACATTAGAATCATTCTTGCAAGTCATTCACTCTTATTCAAATTGCAATTCACCTGACCCAACGAACAGAACCACCCGTGCCTCATTGGCACTCTGACACCCCAGAGTGAAATCCTCATCCTAATACAACCAAGCAACTTCCTTCTCTATGCACCAAGCATTCTTTACCAACAATAACTCTAGACATTCCATGATTCTCATACCCTATGAAGCATAATATAACCTTGTCAAAATTTTCCTTTACTCGGGCTATCCCCGGTCTCAATTTTCGCAAGCCATGATTGATTCACTCGTACGCCTCAAACTGGGTCCAACATAGTACCTAACCATGCAATCATCTACTCACAGCAGACTCCCCCACTTGGCTCGAAGCCATAGGTCAAAATACACTCAATGACTCGTAACACTTATACTCTATTAATTCCACAATACCATAGTGAGATAAGACTCAAATCCTTTATAAGCTTGTGAAAATACAGATCATCTAGTACTCTAAATCTTCGGCAAATCTCGCACTCATTCTCGCAGCAGCTAAGCCCACTCTCTCAAGTGACCCAAAATTCAAATTTCAACACTTACATTTCACTTGCACATGAGATCTTCTAACAATCACATAAGGGTCACACCACCCCAGAACTCTTCGCAGGAGATAACCCACCTGCTCTACCTTCAGTTAATATTTACCTTCCACCGTCATAAACTATATGCAGTCACTTAGTCTTTCTGAGTCGGAACTCGTACCACAACATAAAATTTACTTCACTCTCTCACTGGAAAACATGAACGGATCCTTCACACGTCCATAACTCGGGGCTATACCTCGAATCGCGATGGAATTCAAGCACCTAATAGTTCTTCTATCATCCAGCAAACCTTCCTCTCACTTCCAAGTCATATAGATACATCTCGCAGTGCTAACATGCTCCTCACATAGACACCCAACCATCACTCCCACTAATAGAGACAATACCGAACATATAAGTTCAAAAACACTTGCTAACACAATTAGCACCTCGGTGCTCAAGCCATAGGGAAAGATTTGGCCTCAAGTCCTCCAGACTGGCCCAACATCAACTCACAGAGATCGCATCTCGCCCCTCGATCGGGGAATCACAAGCCATCAAGGTACAGCTGATACTGAGCGCTCATGTGCGCATGCGAATGCGTGGAAGGAATTTCAAGAGTTACTTTTCAAGCTGAATCAAGGACGTACGATAAGAATTCAAGAATGCGAAGTTTTTTCCTAAAGGTTCTACAGCCTCTCGAGGATAAATACAGACATCTTCGTACCGATCTGCGAGACTCTACTAAACCTGCTCATGACTCGTGAGACCTATGTAACCTAGGCTCTGATACCAACTTATCACTACCCTAACCCCGAACCCGGTCGTGACGGTGCCTCTCGTGAAGACAAGGCCAGCCAGACCAAAACAGACCACCTCTTTTAAACAGTTAAATACCATAAGTAGTTCTAAAACATGATATAATAACCATAATTTGCAGAAATAACGGTAACAACAGTATAAACCATCCTAACATAGCCCAAACCGGGGTGTCACAAGTCACGAGCATCTATCAGAGTATAAATATGACTACAAGGTCTGAATGTACAAAACAGGATTGATGAAAGAAAAGGGAGAAGAGCGGTGCTGCGAACGCTGGCAGCCACCTTGCTAAACTCCGATGACTCAACCTCCGATCAGCTCAACACCCGCTACCGGGTGAATAAATACCTGCATATGCACACAAGGTGCAAGGAGTAAAGTGAGTACTCCAACTCAGTGAGTAATAAAGGTAAATAACAACTGAGCAGTAAGAAATCACGTAAAGCAAACCAACATGATGTATAGAAGCGGTGTAAAACCCTTGAGAAAAATAGTGAAGCTGTGAAATCTTTAGAAATATCTTAGCTCAGTTTAAACCTCTTTTGAAAATGGCNACATCTGCACAGGGGGTGCAGGGAGTAAAGTGAGCACTCCAACTCAGTGAGTAATAAAGGTAAATAACAACTGAGATAAATTAGAGTATAACATATTGACGATAAATTAGAGTATAACAGAGTAAAGTGAGTACTCCAACTAGTGTCTCCATCCTGTTATACCCTATTTTAACCAGATCAAATTAGAGTATAACATATTGACGATTCCTAAATTTATTACTCCCTCTGTTCCAGTTTATATGAACATATTTCCTTTTTTGTTCGTTCCAAAAAGAATGACCCCTTTCTAAATTTGGTAACAATTTAGCTAAACATAGGATTCTACCCTTAATGAGATGCTTTTATAACCACACAAATATTCTGGGCCCCTTTTCAATTTGTTTAGGACCATAAATTCTAAAAGTCTTCATTATTTCTTAAATTTCGTGTCCAGTCAAACAGGTTCACATAAATTGGAACGTAGGGAGTACTAATTAAAGAGTCGCCACCTAATTATTTTAAAGATGAATTAGGACACCTATTTTAACTAAGTAATGTAAAGTTAAACTTCGTTAAAGTCTACTAAATATGATATTCTAAGGTAAGGGTTCAAATTAACTTAAGGGGAAGGTGTGAGGCACCCCTCAAGATCCGCATGAGACGAGGTTACCTTCGGACTTGGGGTTAATTAATTAAGGCTAAGTGAATAACTACAATATAATTGATTAAATTAATATAGCAGTAACTTGACTCATAAAATAAGTTATCATGAAGTGGATCAAATCTTTAGGAAGCAAATGAACCTCAAAGACCAAAAACCATTTTGTACATAGTTAAACCAAGTTTAACAAAACATGCCGAATTTGATAGCCATAATTAGCTTAAAACAAAGTTTAAAGGAGTTGAGTCTCTTTTGGATCGAACTCTAAACTAGTTGGGTTTGCCTATTTTATTGAGGTAATCAAATTATACCCAATCAAATATTTCAAACCAGTTTATTATCCTAAGCTGTCACGTTATACCATAGTGATAAGTAGTTAAAAGGGTGAAGAAATAATAAAATTGTTGATTTAAAGTTTTCATAATTTGGTGCTATATTCCTATGTGATAAAAAGTATGCCAATTATAAAGTATCACATATCAAATAAGGTCCCAACACGACCATATATTTAGAGGGAAAAATCATGAAAAACAAATAATGGGAAACAAGAAATATGAAAATTCAAAAGAGCAATTGTCCGACTCTTTCACCAGCATCCTAAAGGGATAATTTTCTTGTGGCGGTCTCAGGTAGCACGAGAATGTGAAACGATGTTGACTCCACATAATATCAAGGCATTGTCGAGTCTTAGAGCAGGACTCCTAGCGGTGATAAAGAGTCTCTTATGAAGGCTCCAATTTGCTCCCAAGGTGTACATAACAAAAGAAATAAGGAGATAGGAATCAGAAGAGATGAGTTGATTCTTAACAACCTGCGGAAACTAAATAAATAGCAGAAAGATCAAATTGCCATTTGATTCATAGCAGCTTGTAAATTGAAGATATTCTTACATAATATCCTACTCGAGTCGTAAAGATTTAATCTCATTAGCTGATGTCATAAATTGACATATTATACTTATAAACAGTCTATTTGCACTTTAAATTAAAAGAACATAAGGTGGCAGAAGAAACTTACAGAAATGTTTTCCTACTTTTACAAATATATCTATTACAACTCTTTATGAGGAAGACTAAATTTGTAGTTTAAATGCATGAGCAGTCGACCCGTTCGAGCATATCACTTTAACAGAACAGAACTCGATCTTTTGGCATGAGTTAATATTCAAAGCCTAACTTAAAATTACATACTTGAGTTTGTAATATCCAAGATATGAAAAGGACCTAAGTCATGATTTCAAATACTAATATCGCTAATTTCTGGACTTACATGAACAAATAACAATTGACACACATTAATTTTTCCTAAAGACGATAAAAAAGAAGTGAACTAGTGGTAAAGTTAGGCAAGTCAACATGAACATCTCTTTAAACACTTTCCAACAGAGCTTCAATCTATCACATACCCAGTAAATACGTATTTCATACTAAAAATAAGAGAAGGAGCCTAGCACATGATTTCTTACTAAACTAATATATAGAGAATGATGATTTGAACCCGAACAGTAGCGAAAAAATCAACAAAGGCATGCTGATAATTATTTTATGACATCTAAAATAAGAAACGGAAGAGAATTAATAACTATTTTACAACAGGTACCAAAACATAAGTACGTTCTAAACTTCAGAATCAAAATAAACCAAAATCAGAAAATTACTGACCTTGTGGGGGGCAGTGAACAAAGGACTTTGAGGTTTCAGATCTACTCTTTTGGATTTTTAATTGAAGCTTGAGAGAAAGAGAGAGAGTACAAAAATTAAAAGTATAAATATGATTTTTTCGACCTTTCAGAATGTCCCTTCGGCTGAAGGTTTTAGGTGTATTTATCGGAAGAAAAGTCTAGGGCTTCAATTTTTTGACGGGATTTCCTTTCAGATTTGAGCATGGTCAAACAATTTTGAAATTTTGAATGTTTGAGATTTTGATTAAAGTTGTTGATATTTGATTCGTCCAAGAATAGCTAGAAACAGTGAGATTTGGGATTGATTTCCTCTTGATTTTGATATGCCATCATTCACGAAAATAGAAGAAAGAGGAGGTCTAGGGAACGACTGAAAATATGTACAAAGCTTGCACTAAAATGGAGTAACAAACACTGCTAATGGTGATGGAGGTTTGGGTTATTGTCCAAGAGGGGAAATGGGAGAGAGGCGGCTAGGAGAAATGTGATTAGGAACCCTAGAGTGAGTTTGTGTTTTAGGGACTAAGGGGGTCTAACAAATTTGGGTTTGCTTGGGCTAGTCTGAAAATATTCTTTTGGATTGATTTGGGCCGAAATCATGGTCTTCCCTTCCTCAAATTAATTTAATTGGGCTCCCATATCTTAATAACTTGGACCCAATAAAAGTACTTTAAACATACATAATATTACATACTAAAATAAATAATTAACTCAATAATAGTCATATTAATAGTAATATAAATAATAATGTTAATAGTACTAATAATAAAATAATAATTTATGTAATAGTAGTAATAGCTTCAATTATTATAATTATAATAAATAGTAGTAATAATAGTAATAAATAACTAAAATTAGTGGATTAGATTATTAGTGACTAGGGAGCACCAGAAAATTAATTAAAAGAAAGGTAGGACAAAATTGGGTATCAACACATCCAAAGAAAAATGGTGAATTTTATAAGGGGGAGGTTAGTTCGCATCCGCGCTAGCTTTGCTTGACTCGTTCGGCTTTGATCTGGTGATACTGTCTATATCATTGGGGTAGCGTTGCTAAACAAAGCAGTTTCAATAACAATCATGCATGATTTTGTAAAAGTATGACATAAATGTATAATTAAAAATAGCTTTTAGATGAACTAATGACTGTGACGTAGTTCAGGACATTGAAACCTCTCCTGCTACGGAATTTCGAGGGTCCTCCACAAAATTCTACCCTTGATTGATGGATTGACATTTCTAACTGCTGCTCGTGCGGCGATTGGCTGAAATTACTTCGGAATTTTGAGGGTTCTCCTCAAAATTCTGCCCCTATTTCCAATTGCGGGGAGGGGGGAGGGGAATGAAATTTTTATTGAATTGTGACCGAACTCATAGGACTTCCTATGTATCCCCTCTTAAACGGGAATTAGGTCAGGCGTAGTTCAATTTATATCATATAAGGAAAGTATAAAGATTACACATAGTAACGCTTGATTGCATCTGAATTGATCGACTTTTGCCAGACTTCTCTGTCCATTTCTACATGTATGAGGACTCCTCCTGTCAAAACCCGGTGAACCATGTATGGACCCTTCCAGTTGGGACAAAACTTCCCTTTGGCTTCATCTTGATGCGAAAAAAATTTCTTTAACACTAGTTGCCCTAGTGTGAACTATCTTGGCTTGACTCTTTTGTTTGAAGGCTCTAGACATTCTGTTCTAATAGAGTTGATCATGGCAAACTGCATTCATTCTCTTTCCATCTATAAGGGCTAGTTGCTCATAACGATTTTTTACCCACTCTGCATTGTCGAGCTCAGTTTCTTGTATGATCCTTAGAGAAGGAATTTCTACCTCAAAGGGAATGACAGCCTCTGTACCGTAAACCAACATATAGGGGGTTGCCCCGGTTAATGTGCGAACTGTGGTACCATACCACCAGAAGAGAAAATGATAACTTCTTGTTCCACTATTTATGTTTCTCTATCATTTTCCTTAATATCTTCTTGATATTCTTGTTGGCGGCTTCTACAGCTCCATTCATCTGAGGCCTATAGGCTTGTGGAATTCTTTTGTTTGATCTTGAAAGTTTCACACATAGCTTTAATCAAGTCACTGTTGAGGTTGGAGCCATTATCAGTAATGATTGATTCTAGAATTCCAAATCGACAAACAATACGGTCGTGGACAAAGTCTGGAACAACTTTCTTAATCACTGCTTTGTAAGATGCTTCTTCGACACCATTTGGTGAAATAGTCGATGGCTACCAGGATAAACCTGTGTCCATTGGAAGCGGCAGGCTCAACTGGTCCAATAATGTTCATCCCACAGGCGGCGAATGGCCACAGTGAGCTTGTTGTGTGAAGCTCGCTTGGAGGTGCCTTTATCAATGTCTACATGTATCTGACAGCGATGGCATTTCCGGACATATTGGATGCAGTCCATTTCCATAGTCATCCAAAAGTAACCAGCCCAGAGTATCTTTTTTGCTAAGACAAAATCGTTCATATGTGGATCGTAGGTCCCAACATGAATTTCCTCTAGCAACTTGGATGCTTCCTTTGCATCGACAGATCTCAATAATCCCAAATCAGGAGTCCTCCTATACAGTATTCCTCCACTGTGAAAGAAGTTGTTGGACAACCTCTGAAGTGTGCGTTTCTGAGTAGGATTTGCAAGCTCTGGGTACTCTCCTTTTGCCAAATATTCCTTGATATCATGAAACCAAGGTTTTCCGTCTGCTTTCTCTTCGACATGGGCACAGTAAGCTGGCTAATTATGGATTTTCACTGGAAGGGATCAATGAAATTCTTGTCGGGATGTTGTATCATAGATGATAGGGTAGCCAATGCATCGGCGAACTCATTCTGGATTCTAGGAACATGCTGGAATTCCGTCTTCGTGAACCTCTTTCTCAATTCCTGTACGTGGTGTAGATACGGGAGTATCTTGGAGTTCTTGGTCGTCCATTCTCCTCGTATAAGCAAGTCTGAATCTCCAATCACTAGCAGTTCTTGATCGTTCATGTCAATGGCCATTTTGAGTCCTAAGATGCAGGGTTCATACTCGGCCATATTGTTGGTGAAGGGGAACCTGAGTTTGGCAGATACCGGATAATGCTGACCGGTTTCTGATATCAGGACTGCTCCTATGCCAACTCCTTTTAAGTTTTCTGCTCCATCGAAGAACATTTTCCAACCGTCATAGGATTTCGCAATGTCTTCTCCTATGAATGATACATCTTCATCAAGAAAATATGTTTTCAGGGGTTCGTATCCTCTATCCATTGTGTTTTCAGCAAGGTGGCCCGCCAGTGCCTATCCCTTGACCGCTTTCTGAGTTACGTAAACAATGTCGATCTCACTCAACAGGATTTGCCACTTGGCTAGCTTGCCAGTGGGCATGGGCTTCTGGAAGATGTACTTCAAAGGGTCCATCCTCGATATGAGATATGTAGTATAGGCGCAGAAGTAATGTCTCAGCTTTTGAGCTACCCAAGTCAAAGCACAACAGGTGCGTTCCAATAGAGAATATCGTGCCTCGTACGGGGTGAACTTCTTATTGGGATAATAAATGGCCTGCTCCTTCCTCCCCGTTTTATCATGCTACCCTAGAACGCAGCCGAAAGCTCCATCTAACATTGCAAGTAGAGTAATAAGGGTTTACCTTGCTCGGGCGGGACTAAGACTAGTGGTGTTGATAGGAACTCCTTGATTTTGTCAAAGGCCTTTTGGCAGTCATCGGTCCATTCGATGGTGGCATCCTTCTTTAACATCTTAAAGATTGGCTCACATATAAGTGTAGACTGCGTTATGAATCGGCTGATATAGTTAAGCCTCCCGAAGAAACTCATCACATCCTTCTTATTCTTTGGCAGTGGTAGTTCTTGAATGGTTTTGACTTTCGATGGATCCAGTTCTATTCCTCGGCAGCTCACAATAAACCCAAGCAATTTCCCAACAGGAACCCTAAATGCGCATTTTGCGGGGTTTAGTTTCAGGTTGTATCTCCACAGTCTATTGAAGAATTTCCTTAGATCTTCCATGTGGTCAGTGGCCTTCTTGGATTTGATAATAACATCGTCCACATATACCTCTATCTCCTTGTATATCATATCATGGAAAATGGTAGTCATGGCCCTCATGTAGGTGCCCCTGCATTCTTCAGGCCGAACGACATCATCTTGTAACAGTACACTCCTCATGGCGTAATGAAAGTCATTTCCTCAGCGTGTTCCTCATCCATTCAGATCTGATAAGAACTAGCAAAGCAATCTACGGATGACTATAGTTCATGATTGGCGCAATTGTCAATCAGGATGTTTATAATTGGCAAAGGGAAGTCAACTTTCGGACTTGCCCGGTTGAGATCCCGGTAGTGGACACAGACTCTGACCTTCCCATCCTCTTTGGTACGGGCACAATGTTGGCTAACCATGTTGGGTATTCTACTACCCTGAGAACCTTAGCTTTGATCTGCTTATTGACTTCCTCATTGATTTTCAAACTCATATCAGGCTTGTACTTTCTGAGCTTTTGCTTTACTAGTGGACACATTGAATCGATTGGCAGCTTGTGATCCACAATGGATGTACTTAGACTAGTAATGTCAACATATGACCAGACGAATATGTCCTCATACTCTTTTAGAAATTCTGTGTATTCTTTCATCTCTGATGGCGATAGGTGAATACTGCTTCGTGTTTCCTTGATGTTTTCTGCATCTCCCAAATTAACAATTTTGGTCTCATCCAGGTTGGACTAGGTTTGTTCTCAAAATTCTCAACTTCCTTGACAATCTTGCCAGATAGGTCATCTTCTTCTGAATCCATGTCCGTTTGTTGCGTTGTCTCATTGCATGTCACAGTCATTGGTTCATCAAGATAAGTAATAGTAATACTGTATGGGTAAAATAAGGAGAGATAGCAATAAATATTAATTCATAAGAAAATCAAACATGCATTATATAAATTGAATAACTATTTTTGATCATCGAAGATCTTATTGCTAAAATTAGAAAATGCTAGAAGACAATCATTTAATAAGTAAAACAGTAATTAATGCTTGGTTTAGCCTTGCTACCCCGAGACTCGTCGGGCTTTGGTTGTCTTGATGGTCCAATTCTTGAGATGTGCCCCTCTGCTCACAGCCTAGATGGAAGGGCCTTCCTCCCCCTCCTCCTCGATAATAACACAACAATCCATATTATTGTCCTCTAAAAACAGGTTCTTCACTGTTGCAAGTGCTTCTTTTTTATCTGACCCATAAATAATGTCAGCCTGTTGGAAGGTCTGCTCCAGATGCAGTATCGGTTGCTCTAGTGTGTAGTAAGGACCGCACCATGGTGGCGACCAGTTATTGAACTCTTCCCAGGTGTATTCATATCCCAAGACGAAGGTAGTGCCATGTTTCTTGAGTTTTATGGATTTAGAGATTCCTTGGAGGTTCTTGCCGAGCCCTTTGCCAGGTTCGTACCCACTCTAACTTAGTATACTCTCGATTTTGCTATCCCACCATTTTTCTTTGTCTATAGTATTGACCCG